ATCTCTCCAAAGATACACAAATAGCCAATAAATACAGAAGATGCTCAACATCACTAGGGAAACAGAAACCAACACTACAGTGAGATACCACTTCTCACCCACTGGGATGACTGTGACAATTAAAAAAAAAAAAAAGAAAAAAAAGACAATAACAACTATTGATGAAGATGTGGAGAAACTAGAGACTTCATCCATTGTTGCTGGGAAGGTAAAATAGGCTAGCTGTTCTAGAAGACAGTCTGGCAATTCCTCAAAAAGGAAGGCACAGAGTTAACATATGACCCAGCAATTCCACTCCTATGTACGTGTTCCAGAGAATTAAAAACATGTCCACATAAAAACTTGTATACAAATGTTCACAGCAGTGTTATTTACCATAGCCAGACAATGGGAACAACCTAAATGTCTGTCAATGGATGACTGGATGAACAAAATAGTGGTACAGCCTTACAATGGAATATTACTTTATATATGAACACACATCCACACGTATGTAACAACATGGATCTTACATGCTACATATACAGGCTACAATGTGGATGAACTTGGAAAACATTATGCTAAGTGAAAGAAGCCAGACACAAAAGCTCACATATTATATGATTCTATTAAATATGAAATATCCAGATTAGGCAAATCCATAGAGACGGAAAGTAGATTAGTGGTTGTCAAGGGCTGGGCTGAAGAGGGAAGGGGGAGTGACTGCTAATTATGAGGGCATTCACTTTGGCAATGATAAAAATATTCTGGAATTAAACAGGGGTGAGGTTTGCACAACTCTTGTGAATATACAAAAATCTGAACACTCATTCACAGGATCTGCTGGCCCCTGAAGCACTTACATTTACAACCTATGGTGTAATGTTACTGTCCAACTTTTGGATACTCAATCCTCCGTCTCCAAGAATAACATATTATACAAAAGGCTGTACGTACAAAGTAAACTTTAAAGGAAAAACTGGTATCTTTATCCATATAGTTTTCTGTTATTTATGGTTAAATTGTACACCAATTATGAGGGATAATCCCCCTGATTAATAACACTCTTTTTCCAAAGCACCCAAGGTGGGGCTGGCATGCCAACAGTAGGATGCTGGTAAATTGGCTTTCTGGGAAATTTAAAGAAAAGAAAAAAGAAAAAAAAGCCCTGATTTTTAGTGTTTGCTGATTTCCGTGGTATAAATATCACAGTCAATTTCTCAAGCCACCAATATGCCATGACTGGAGGGAGGGCTGGGGAGCTGCGTGCCACTTCAAGCTGGCTCCAGCACAGCACTGTATCTGAGCAACGTCCCCGCACAAAAGGACGTCCTTCTCGAAGCTGGTCTTATTACCTGGGCAGCAACCATGTGTTCTGCATCTTCCTTTTTGCTTGTTGCAGGGTAGAACACGATGTTGTCGATGGTCTGTATCAATTCCAACTGGACCACACACTTGATGAGGAGGCTGGCAAACAGTTTCTGATCTATATTAGATGATAAAGATTAACCCTAATAATGATCCAGCCAGTGTTGAATTAAGTATTCCCAGAGCTCCTACTATGTTTCAGGCACGGTTCTTGATGCTGTGGCAGAAGAGCGAATAAGCTGGACAAAAACCCCACGGCAGAGACAGACAATAAACAGGATATTTAAGTCTAAGGTACAATATGTCAAATGACGATGACAAAGGTAAGAATAGGGATGAGGTAGAGATGGTGTCGGGCTGGGGTTGCAAGTTCAAACAAGCGGGTCAGGAAAGGGCTCTCTGCAAATGTGATACCTGAGCAAAGACCTGAGGGGAGGAGTCAGCTATGCAGGGACCCTATCTCCCAACAAGCTTCTCTGCCACCTGCAGGGACTCCTACAGACAGCTCCGGACTGTGCCCTAAGCACTCCAGGCCCAGGTTCCTGCAGCAGCCAGACTCTCCAAAGTGGTTGGCTGTCAGTCTTGAGGGGATGGGGCTCTTTTCCGTTCTTAGTTCCCAATCGCTTTCTGTCTGCTCTGGAGGTGTATCTGCTTCTGGTTCCCTCAAGAATCTTCTCTGTTCAAATTATTGGTGTGATTTCTGCCTACTGACTAGACTCTGGCTAATATCTCTTCCCTCCATCTTTGTCTTCTCACTCCCTGGGCGCAGGGGCGGCAGCCCGCATTGGGCACTTCACTGGTGACTGATTTGACTATAACGAAAGTAGAGATTCCTTTTTCAACCTATTGTTATAGAATCAGAATGTTGAAATCATTAGATGAGTGTTTAGTGATGGCAAACAAGGAGGATGGATCATCTTCAAGTTTTGGAAAGTGACTGTGAAATTTTGTGTGTGTGTGTGAATTTATATAAATTCTCCATGTAGAATGTTTTAATTAAAGAATATGGTGGAGTTGCAGCACATGTACATTTAATTTATGCCAATTTAGTGACGTCACCTTGGACCACAAATGACAAGGGAAGAAACGGTCCAAGTGGTGTGCGAATGTGCCTACTGCCCACTCACTGAGCTGATGCCCACAGGGCGGGCTGCTCTGGGCAAGTGGGAGCATGCTCCCAGGAGGAAGGGCAGGGGTCTCAAGCTCCAGGCCCCTCTCAGAGCACAAACCTCTTGCTGCACCAAGAGTGGCTCTATTTAAAGAACCGTACGTGTACACTCCCACCCAAGCCAAACCTTTATCTGGAGCTGATGAGGCAGCAGACCTTGCTCACTGGCCCCTGAGAGACCCTGGTTATGCTGCAGATACTGAGGAACGGCGTGTGAGTGTCCAACATGGTGCCTTTTTAATGGATTCCAAGGGTGGTTATGTTTTGTGCCTTCAAAGATAGTTGGTGGCCACACGTGGCTGTGTCTAATACACGGCAGTGTCGACACCAAAAGCCTGGCGTGTCTGAAGAAAAACAACAGGGCCACAGCTGGAAAGAGACCAGACCACAAAACCAGGAATGTTCCAGTCTCTCAGTCAGCTGAAAGTGTGTCTGAATCCCAACTCTACTGCACAGTGGCAAGTCACGTTATCCGTCTCGGTCCCAGGACACGCAAATGTAAACAGTACCTCCTCAAAGGACTAGAGGGATGATTACACGAGATCACACACATGAAACACACAGTGCACTGCCTGCCTCATAGTGACTGTTAAACCTGGTTTTTAAAGTGACAGTAAAACATGACCACAAGTAACGCTGACCAACTGATAAAAGAGAAAAGGGATCTCTAACACATGAAAAGCTCCTCCAAACCAATAAAAAGACTAACAGCCAATATAAAATGAGGAACGATTTGAAGAGATGATGAAAAAATAGAAAGGTTCTTAAACACATGAAAAACTTCTCAGTTTCACTCATAATTAGAAAACTGCAAATTAAAACTACTCCAAAGATAGGAAGTATCACCTATGTGTTCCTGAGGATCATGTAAACAGGAATCTGTAATTATCTGTCAAAATGGCAAGTGCACTTCACCCAGCAGTCCTACTGCTAGGAATTTATTATATAGATAAACTCGTGAATGACACACATTATTAGGTCATTCAATGTAGTACTGTTTGTAACAGAAAAAGATGGGGAATAATATAAACGTCCATTAGTAGGAACCCAATTAAGCAAATAATAGTACATCTATATCCTGGGATGACATATAATAAATAGTATAAAAGAATGTGAAAGCTTTTTAGGTACTGATTTTGAATGGTCTCAAAAATACACTAAGTGAAAAAAGAATACACATAGTATTCTGTAATTTGTATAAAAAGGACGGGGAATTCATGCGCACACACGCACATGTGTTTATGGATATTATGCTCTTTCTTGCATACGGATAACAGTCGGAAATGCACACAAGAAACTGGTGACACAAGCTGCCACAAAGAAGGGACTGGCAGACTGAGGCACGGGGTGGAAGAAAGGCTTATCATGTTCACCTTTTGTACCTTCTGAATGTTTGAATACGTAAGCGTGTTACCTATTTAAAATAAATAAATGAAAACAACTAAAAAAAGCGGCCTTACTTGCATATGGTCTACCTTTCCAGCTGTCATCGGTTGGGTTAGAGAGTTGGCTCTGGCCTCTCTCAGAGGCGTTTTTATCTATGCTGCTTAGAGACTGGCGGTCCAGATCCACATCCTACAAGCAACCCAGAGAAATACAATGTTCACTTTCTTTATCCACAATTCAGTACCTGGGCAGATATGCACCTGTTTTGACACTGGGGGCCAACCTGAATTTAAGCGCTTTGCTTAGCTTGAAGTAAAATTATACTGCCTGCTTAATGAGGCTACATAGGAGAGATTACTAAGGTCACGTATTTTCTCCCTCCCATTAAAATTTCACATTTTCTTATTCCTACTTAGAAGGTATTTCTTTATATATTATGATTTAACAATGAATGTGACATGGGGCGCCTGGGTGGCTCAGCCAGTTGAGCATCGACTCTTGATCTCAGTTGATCTCAGGGTCATGAGTTCAAACCCCAACTCAGGGTCTGAACTCCAAGCCCAGCGTGGAGTGGAGCCTCCTTGAAAAAAAAACAACCAAACAACCAGAGAACATAAGTGTAGCAAATTAATGAGGACAAGCTCAAAAATTCTAGTGTGATAGCTAGCTTTTTAAAATGTTGACAGAAGGCAATTAACAAACAAAAAAATGTTTAAATAAGGTGCTTCATTTTTTAAGTTGCTATATACCAAATGCCTTTTTTTTTTTTTAAGTTGGCTCCACACCCAATGTGGGGCTTGAACTCACAACCCTGAGCTTAAGAGTTGCATTCTCCGGGGTGCCTGGGTGGCTCAGTTGGTTAAGTGTCTGCCTTTGGCTCAGGTCATGATCCCAGGGTCCTGGGATTGAGTCCCACATCGGGCTCCCTGCTCAGCGGGGAGCCTGCTTCTCCCTCTCCCTCTGCTGCTCCTCCTTGCTTCTGCTTTCTCTCTGTCAAATAAACAAAATCTTAAAAAAAAAAAAGGAAAGAGTTGCATGCTCCTCTGAGTCAGCCAGGCGCCCCCAAATGCCTTTTAAAATCTAATGGCCTTGGGGTGGCCACCCCTGGGCACCTCATGGATTTGCTGCAGAAGAAGATGGTCAGCCTAGACATCTGCCGCTACCTGGCTCTGGACGAGGCTGACCGCATGATTGACATGGGTTTCGAGGGCGACATCCGCACCATCTTCTCCTACTTCAAGGGCCAGCGGCAGACCCTACTTTTCAGTGCCACCATGCCTAAGAAGATTCAGAACTTTGCCAAGAGTGCCCTGGTAAAGCCGGTCACGATCAACGTGGGCCGCGCTGGGGCCACCAGCCTGGATGTCATCCAGGAGGTGGAATATGTCAAGGAGGAGGCCAAGATGGTATACCTGCTTGAGTGCCTACAGAAAACACCCCCACCCGTGCTCATCTTTGCGGAGAAGAAGGCAGATGTGGATGCCATCCACGAGTACCTGCTGCTCAAGGGGGTCGAGGCGGTGGCCATCCATGGGGGCAAAGACCAGGAGGAACGGACCAAGGCCATCGAGGCATTCCGGGAGGGCAAGAAGGACGTCCTGGTGGCCACAGACGTAGCCTCCAAGGGCCTGGACTTCCCTGCCATCCAGCATGTCATAAATTATGACATGCCTGAGGAGATCGAGAACTACGTGCACTGTATCGGCCGTACCGGGCGCTCAGGAAACACAGGCATCGCCACCACTTTCATCAACAAGGCCTGTGACGAGTCGGTGCTGATGGACCTGAAAGCCCTGCTGCTGGAGGCTAAGCAGAAGGTGCCCCCTGTGCTACAAGTGCTGCACTGTGGGGATGAGTCCATGCTGGACATTGGAGGAGAGCGTGGCTGTGCATTCTGTGGGGGCTTGGGCCATCGAATCACTGACTGCCCCAAACTCGAGGCTATGCAGACCAAGCAGGTTAGCAACATCGGCCGCAAGGACTACCTGGCCCACAGTTCCATGGACTTCTGAGCCCTCTGTCATCCCTTGTCTCCAAGAGACCTCAGTCTCCAGCCACCTCCTACACACACCAGCCCCCTGGACAAAAAGCCAGCATCTTTGGCCCAGCTGGCCTGGGCTGGGCCAGGCTGGGCCTGGCCGCCTGCTCCCTGTGTCCCCCAGAATTACTATTTTTGTTCCCCTTTACCCCAGCTGTCATTAAAGCACAAGCCTCCCTGGTCTCAAAAAAAAAAAAAAAAAAAAAAAATCTAATGGCCTTGGGGCGCCTGGGTGGCTCAGTCGTTAAGCGTCTGCCTTCGGCTCGGGTCATGATCCCAGGGTCCTGGGATCGAGCCCCACATTGGGCTCCCTGCTTGGCAGGAAGCCTACTTCTCCCTCTCCCACTCCCCCTGCTTGTATTCCCTCTCTTGCTGTCTCTCTCTGTGAAATAAATAAAATCTTCAAAAAAAAAAAAATCTAATGGCCTTATGGTTATTTGGGAATAGACGTTAATACAAAGCCCCTGTACACCAAGGTTTTAAAAGTGAGACTTGAATCAGAACTTCTCTGTGTGGCCTCACACAGAAAATAAGAACCACTATCTTACTGGTGTAGAGGAAAGCACTCGTTATTTAAGAGGATAATAAATAAGGATAATTATACCAAGGCATTATTTCTATCAGCAGAACACCAGAACTGAGAGTCCAGCAAGGGAGAATTTGTTAAATAGATTACAATAATGTACAGCCACTAAAAAATCTGCTCTCAGAGAATATTTAAGAATCTTGAAAAATGCTCACATGTTGTTAGGTAAAACATTATGTGCCAAGTGCTCCTGAATTTCAAACATATGTGGGTTAGATATGTGCCGTTACACAAAGAAAGAACTAGAAATGTAAACTATGGTTTTTATTGGGTGAGGTGACTTATTTTTTGTGCTTTCTAAAAAAGATGTTAATGAACATGTATAGATTTAAATCTTTTTTTTTCTTTTTCAAGATCTTATTTATTTATTTGACAAACAGAGAAAGCACGAGCAGGGGGAGTGGGAGAGGGAGAAGCAGGCTCCCCGCTGAGGAGGGAGTCCGATGCGGGACTCGATCCCAGGACCCTGGGATCATGACCTGAGCATTAACCATCGGAGCCACCCAGGTGCCCTCTTTTTTTTTTTTTTAAGATTTTATTTATTTATTTGAGAGAGAGAGAATGAGAGAGAGCACATGAGAGGGGGGAGGGGCAGAGGGAGAAGCAGACTCCCTGCCGAGCAGGGAGCCCGATATGGGACTCAATCCAGGGACTCCAGGATCATGACCTGAGCCGAAGGCAGTCGCCCAACCAACTGAGCCACCCAGGCGCCCTCTTTTTTTTTTTTTTTTTAAGACATCTTTACACCCAACGTGGGGCTTGAACTCATGACCCTGAGATCAAGAGCTGAATGCTCCACCGACTAAGCCAGCCAGGCGCCCCTAGTTTTTAAATCTTATAACCTTTTTTATTCATTTCTCATCAGAAAAGCACAAACTGTTTGGGTTCCTTAATTTTTTACTATAATACGAGATCAAAGAAAAGACATCAACAAAAAACCCTACCAAATGTTTTTCTGACGAATCTTCCTCCATTCCTACAGGTCTCCAAGTCAGCAAACTGAAGGGAATACAAGAGAAGGAAAATGATCCATGTGAAAGGCAAACTGGAGTCTTAATATGTCTACTGAGCACAGAAATAAACAGCAATAAGCACATTCACACTCACACGTGTGGGATGGTTGTTTTGAAGATATCCAGCATACAACTGCATGTCTCATCCCAGACGTCGGGACTGAATTTCTCCCCGTTGGATATTACTAAGTTTTCTAAGCAATTGGTACCTGACCGAGCCAACTGCTCATTGTCTGCAAAATAAAGCAACATATATCATGAAACTTCCACTGCTGTTTTGATTCCCATCAGGGCACTGATGCTTCATATTGCAAGGTGGAGACGACACGATGGGGGGCTCTGCAGGCTCTTATTGAAGGAAGCAACGATACAGCCAGTATTAAAACTTTTATTGTTTAAGTAGGCTATAAAGAGGTAAAATTATTTATCACAGCTTTATTGCTAGGGATGGAAGGAGGTCAGTTTGCTACTTAATTAACTGACTTCTTATATGATGTATTAGTAAAGGATGGAAATATTAGACCAGTGTTTCTCCCCTGAACACTGCCATACCAGTATTGACTGTTTTACCATTTATTTTAAAACAGAGTCACTTTTTTTTTTTTTAAAGATTTTATTTATTTATTTGACAGAGAGAGACACAGCGAGAGAGGGAACACAAGCAGGGGGAGTGGGGGAGGGAGAAGCAGGCTCCCCGCAGAGCAGGGAGCCCGATGCGGGACTCGATCCCAGAACCCTGGGATCATGACCTGAGCTGAAGGCAGTCGCTTAACCAACTGAGCCACCCAGGCGCCCTAAAACAGAGTCACTTTTTGAAAAAACACATTGAAGCTTTGTCTTAAGCCAAAACTATCTATGGAATCCAGGTCAAATGTGCTACATGGGCATTTTTCCTAGCACGCACTACCTCTACACATAAGTACTCAAATGAACAATGTTCACTGATGAAGCTGTTAATACTGACCCCATTTTAAAAACATTACAGAAAACTTCAAATATAGACAGAAGTAGAAAAAAACAGCATAATATACAAAGGCAAATCTTTAAAAATATAGTAATAATTACATCCCTTTCTTTAAGAAATGCCTTATAAACTGGCTTGAGGAGTTTTTTTTTTTTTTTTTAAGATTTTGTTTATTTGACAGACACAGCGGGAGAGGGAACACAAGCAGGGGGAGGGGGAGAGGGAGAAGCAGGCTTCCCGTGGAGCAGGGAGCCCAATGTGGGGCTTGATCCCAGGACCCTGGGATCATGACCTGAGCCAAAGGCAGAGACTTAAGGACTGAGCCACCCACGCGCCCTGAGGAGATTGTTTTGATACTCTAAGTAAAAATACACATTTTCACCAATTATATATCATACTCCTTCGCATTACATTCTTGCTTTTACATATTGAAAAATTAATCTCTCAGTAAAAACTAAGTCAAGAAGAATGACACCCAGAGGCATAGCGAGTACCTTGTTTTACACACCACTGCAGCTGTGCAAACACATCAGACAGAAGCACTTCATTCAGAGCTTCATAAAACTGGGTGAACACATCACAAATGGCATAGAGTGCGTGATTGCAAGTTGTTGTCATCCACTCGGATTTCTGGAAAAACAAAATGATAATGCTGAGAGGCCACTCTCCTTGTGGGGAGATGGCACTCTCCTGCATCATGGGCAAAACTGTTCTGGTGTGAAATCTGGCAGTATGTGTCAAGAGCCTTTTCAATGCTCACACCCACAGACGCAGGAACACGGCTGGCAGGAATGGACCCTAAGGAAAGAATCACAGATCTGAGGGTGAAGGTCTATGAATAAGGAGGTTTACACCACACTGGCACTTACACACTGAAAACACAGATACAAATACCCAGCAAGGCGGCAACTAAATTAAGTGCCTCTATATGACAAAAAGAGTCCCACGCTCTATGGACTGAGCCAGCCATGTGACCCTGGTATTTCATTTTTGTAAAAAGAAAACACACAAGCAGTATGTGAAGGGGTTAATAGTGGTTGCCTGTGGAAGCTGTGGCTTTCAAATGTTTTGTTTTTCTGTCTTCTGATTTTCTCTTTTAAAGATTTATTTATTTATTTTTGAGAGAGAGAGGGAGAGAGAATCCCAAGCAGACTCTGTGCTGAGCACGGAGTCTGACTCACAGCTCCATCTCATGACCCTGAGATCGTGACCTGAGCCGAAATCAAAGTCAGATGCTCAACTGACTGAGCCACCCAGGTGCCCCTCTGATTTGTTTTATAATGAAGAAAATTTTAAGTTACTTTAAAATACAATTAGCAGACTGAATCTAAGACTGTGACTTCAACCATATTTTAACCAGGCAGAAGACGGAGGGAAATTTGCCAAAACATTAACTCTAATTTCTGAATGGTAAAATTATGAGTTTTCTGTATATTCTTAACATTCCATATTAAACTTACACTGCTTTTATACCGGGGGGGTAGATAATGGTATTCCTAAAAGTAGGTAAAAAAGTGACTCTCTCTAAAAATCTTGATAAAGAATATCCTCTCCCTTTCCCTCTATCCCTAGGGAAGAAATAACAAAGATAACCAGAGGCATCAAACTTCCTTAAGAAAAAAAAAAGGCCTAATATTTGCCAATGTCATCTCCAACTGTAACTTCATTAAAAATTTTTATGATTTTATTTATTTATTTGAGAGAGACAGTGCTCATAGGGCAGGGAGGAGCAAAGGGGGAGGGAGAGAGAGGGGAAAGAATCCCAAGCAGATTCTTTGATGAATGCAGAGCCCGATGCAGGGCCAAAACCAAGAATCGGATGCTTAAAGAACTGAGCCATCCAGGCACCCCAAAACTTTTTTTTAAAGATTTTACTTTTAAGTAATCTCTACACCCAACATGGAGCTCGAACTCACAACCCCGACATCAAGAGTCACACACTCTACCAACTGAGCCAGCCAGGTGCCCGTAAAAATGCTTTTAATGAGTTTTTTTTTTAGGGACCAGAGACATTCCATTTTTTTACTGACTGCTGAGAAGCTGGTATAAACCAAGTAACTGAGAGGAGCAGGTGCCCTGTTGAACTGGCAGGTACAATGCCCGAGGGCAAAGCGGGTGGGCCATGGTGACTTATTTCCTCTCGCCCTTCCCCAAATGGGGACAGTTTCTTAGCACTAGTTGATTCTGGTATAAGAGTGCTTGGAAGGGGGTTTCCATTAAAAAAATTTTTTTTAGAGATTTTATTTATTTGAGAGAGAGCGAGCACAAGCAGGGGGAGTGGGAGAGGGACGCGGGGCCCGATCCTAGAACCCTGGGATCATGACCTGAGCCAAAGGCAGAGGCTTAACCGACTGAGCCACCCAGGTGCCCCGGGGTTTCCTTTTTTTTTTTTTTTAAGGATTTTATTTATTTATTTGACAGAGAGAGAGAGACACAGCGAGAGAGGGAACACAAGCAGGGGGAGCAGGAGAGGGAGAAGCAGGCTTCCCGCAGAGCAGGGAGTCCGATGCAGGGCTCAATCCCAGGACCCCGGGATCATGACCTGCCTGAGCCGAAGGCAGATGCTTAACGACTAAGCCACCCAGGCACCCTGTCCCGGGGTTTCCATTTTAAAACACACCTCCAGGGGCT